TGTAGGGTTTCTGATCAGGAATTTCTTGGGTATCAGATCAATTTTAACTGGACAAACTGAAGCTGGAACGAGTCCTAAATCATTTTTTGATTTTGAGAAACTCGATTGAAATGAATCAATTAAATCAGTTAATTGCTCTTGCAATGGTTGAGGTAAATCAGGATTGATTCTAGCTGCTATTTTTTCTCTAAAAGGCTGAATTTTGATTTCTTTTAACTCTTCTTGAGTAATGAATTCGCATTTAGCCATTAATGCAGATATATCTTCAATATCGACAGGGACAGGAATGGATTGAGTTGATTTTGGCTTAGTATCGATAATATAATTGTTTTCAGTATTGTTATCAGGAAGGGTTGTAGTATCAAAGATTTGTTTGGTTTCATCAGGGGTACAAAATCGGAAATAGAAGTTAGGATTGAGAGGTTGTGAATTTGGAGATTCATAACAAACAGTATCGTAATATTCGCCATTAGATTTTAAATTGAAATAATACAAATGAATGAAGGCATTTCCAATCAGGCAAACTGGTTCAAAGTCTTGGACAATATGAACTCGAAATACTCTTGACTCTTTCATAGCTGGATGCTTGACAATAGCGTAGGCAAAACCTTTAGAAGGAACGACTTGTTTAGCAGCGATTCCTTTTAATGCTCTAGCATAAGGGATTACATGAGCTCCAAGTTCATCAGCAAGATTAGCGTCAAGAGCGGATAGAGTAGAACCAGTATCAAGCAATACTCGACCTTCTCGGACCAATTCTCGAGTTGGCTTACAAAGCTTGAATATGGCTTGTGGCATGTGACAAAGATCTAATTCGCCTAATTTAGTTATAAGCGGAATAGCAGGGGTTGATGAAAGTGTCCAAAGAAGTCCTGGGTTTCTCAAAGCATCAGCTTGAGGTTCAGGAGGAAGAGTAATGGCTAAATTTGAAGAAGATGGAGTGGTGTTTGCAGGGGAAGTTGCACTTGGGGGTGCAGTAATTGCTCTTACATTGGAATTATTAGGGTTATTTGAATTGTTTGAACGATAATTTGGATTATTTTGGGGTCTGGTTCGACATTGTTGGAGGGTATGACCTGGCTTTTTGCAATAGTTACAGGTAATTGGGTTTGAATTTGAATGAGAGGGTTGATTTGAACGGTAAGGTTGAGTACGATTGGTTTGATTTCGGGTATCAGGTTTTCTTAATAAGTTATTAATAGTGGAAGTTCGAGGAGGTTGAGAGGGATTGGATTTATTTTTATGATAAGTTTTACTTTGTTCTGCCTCGAAATGTTTACGAATGAGTAAATTAGTAATTTTTGGAAGGTCATCATTGATGCCTAAAGTATTGACTTCGGAAAGGATATAATAAGGAAGATGGTTTAGAAGTTCATGTTTGAATACTTCTTCAGTATAAGTTCCTACGGCTTTAGTAAGGGAAGTGCGTAATTTTATCAAAAAAGTATTAGGATGATCAGTTGGGTTATATTTGAGTTGTCTTAATTGAAATTGTGCAGAATATTGCATAGCTGGAGTTTTAACAGCATTTATCAACGCAGTTAAATACTCTTTATAAGTACTGATAGTTGGATCTAAAGTTTTAGACACAGCTAAAAGTTCATGGGCTAAACCCTTTTTAAAACATCTCAAACGTGTGGCATCGTCAACGTTCTCTTGAGCGAGTCGTTGTTCTGTGTTTGTGATAAAATCAATGGCATCTTCACCTTTTTTAAATTCAGTAACATGAGGATCTGGTTTCAGATTTGAAAGAGCATTCAGAAGGAATTGAGGATTTACTTGGGGTTCACTAGCGGTAGAGGAAGGTGAAGGATGAAATAATGGAGGAGGTTGATTGTTTTGGGCTATGGGATTGATATGAGCACCTAAAGTATTCAATATCTCTAAGAGTTTTCTCTGAGATTCAAGAGGGATAGGGATTGAACAAATATCAGCATAAGATATGCGTAACATAGCCTCACGATCTCGACCTAATGATCTTATTATGGTCTTTATTTCCTCTTCTGTGAGTCCATTATGTCTACACTGAGTCATCCAATCTGGAACGGCAAATTGAGTAACGGTAGTAGTAGGAAGACATTCGATGTCATCATCAGTTAATTGTTCACCAACAGATAACAAATGAGTTTTTATGCACTCGAAGAATCTTCGTTTTGCAAGACATGGAATCGGGACGAGAACACTCCAACCTTGTAAAGTTTGAGTCATGGTTTCAAGATTCATTTCATAGACGATTGGTTCATCGGCTGCAACATTGAATCTTCTTCTTCTCTGAACTGCCATGATGGTTAAGTTGAATAGTGAATGATACAAGAAAAGTAAATCGGAATATCACTTAAGTGATGGTAAGGATGAATGCGTTATTGAAAGTTGAATTGTTCAGTTGAAATTTGAAAATTGAAGGAGCTTGAGTTTAATTGTTCTGGTTAAAGTTGAATGGTTGAAATAGTTGAAGTTTAATTGGAAGGAGTAACTTGGAGTTTACTTTGAAAGTTTAATTGAGTTCAGAACTGGAAAGTTATTGGAATTTGTTGGAAATATTCAGTTGAAGGTAAAGTTGAAATATTCTTTAAGGAATTGGAGTTAATTTTGTTGAGTTTAAAGTTGAAGGTAATTCAGAGATTCTTTGAGGAATTGAATTAGTTGAACAGAGTTCGGAATTGTGTAAGGATATTCTTAAAGGAATAACTGGAAAGAGACTTGAGACAATTTTACCTTGAGAGTTATATGGAAATAACTATTGTGATCCTGATTATTGAAGAGATTATGGAAAATCTTTGTATTAAATTTGAATTAAATTTGAAGGAATAGTTCTTAAGAACTGAATCAGTCACATAAAGGGCACGGCGAGTCCGATATTCTAGAGTTTGAAGATAACACAAGTGTAACCTTCAGGAAGGTCAAATTGAAACAGAGTCTTTGGAAACACACACAAATCGTAGGCACAGAACTTAGCAATCCTGCCAAGGTCGCCAAGTGAAAGGTTTGTTACGGAAGTAATCTGATGAGAAGACTGCGAACTTGCTTTCACTTCAAGTTTTGAGTTCGAATCTTGGATCACTAGAGATCTACACCTTAAACTTATCTGTGTTTCAGGATATCTCATAAGAGATGAAAAGCACAATTCATAAGTTAGGAATACTTAGAGTTAACTTGAAATCTTTTATTAAAACAAGATAACTGAATGGAAATTAGTTGAATAAGTTGAATATTTCTTAAGAAATTTAATGTTGAACAAAAATGAATGAGGATATTACAAGAGTAATGAATGACTTAAGGAGAGTAACCAATAAGTAAAGTAAAAAATGAAATTTTAGGTTTTTATAACCTTCTTGAAACAAAGAATAGAAATTGGAGGGAATTGAGAAAGTAAAGCTTTTTTCTCTGTCTAATTGTGTCTGGTTTTGGTTGATTTTAACCAGTGACCAAATTGAGTCTTATCAGTAATTAATACTGGTAAAGCTACAAGCTTTTTACCTCTTACCATTATGTCTTGAGACATATATCTCCTAAGAGATTGTACCTTTGACAATGCAAGGGGATTAAAGAAGGTGAAAAACAGTTGAAAATGAAGATAAAAAAGAAAGTGATTTTTACATCTCTTACTTTTGTGCACTTAATTTTCAATCTTAATTTTGGTCAATTCTTTAACCAGAATTGTGGTTAGATTTACATTCATTTAGACATGAGATTTAGAGGATTTTGACGGATTACAATTAAGATTAGCACTTAGGCTTTTTGAACATAGTTAAGAAAACTGAATTATGATATTGCTTTAGCAATTATAATTTGTGAAATGAAACAATTGAATTTAAACTGAATTGAATTAAATTTAAAAGAGGGATGATTCAAGAGATTGAATGAATAAATGAAATTGAATTGAATAAATTAACTAAGTCAGAAATCTACCCTTCACTCCCAACCAGGAGGAATAGTCATATTGAAATGGAGGTGTTCCACCATGAATTTTGCAGTCCAGTTGAAGTCTTTCAAACACTTTAACCTCGGTTGGACCATCAATAGTCAAATTAGTAATTGGATCTTTGCTTTCCAATGTAAGGTTGAATGTACCAGATTTTTGTATAAGACGACTTCCATTGGTTTTAGTTGCTGTAACAATCACTGAAATGTTGTTCAGTTGAGGCCGAGAAAAAGTATGTTCAATAACCTCTTTGCTTTCTTCTTGTTGTTCATCATTGATAATCCATTTGTATGTTATAGCAGCTGAGTTGAAGAACCCGAAATAATAACTCATTCTGGCAGTGAGTTTATACGGCTCTGCAGTGGAAACAACCTTTTTCCTTGCATCATCATTTACCGCTATAGTTCCAGTTAGTGAATCTAGAAAAATATTAATATATAAAATGAGCTTGATGTTGGTATTTGTCGGATGGGTATTCAAAACGTTACCTGTAAGCTGGAAAGTAGAGTGAAGAGTTCCTATCCAATGAAAAGGAATTCCATGACGAGAATACCATGCATCGATTTGTACTGTATAGTTACCAGCTTTCGCTGATTCAAATGTTACGACGTAATCTTTACCATTTTGATCTGAGACAAGGGTTTTATCATATTGTGGAAATTGGGCAAATTTGAATCGAAATTCATATGGAGGACCCATTCTTGCATCGTCGAATGAATATCTAAATAACATTGGTGCACCAATTGTTCCAGGCCCAAAGTCATACAGCCTAGGAGCTGTGTCATAGACTGGAAATAAAAAAAACAAAAACCGGAGATAAACGAGTGTTTACATCTTTATCAAGCTGTCTTATTACAGTGCAGTTAGAGTGGATACCATCAACCATTTATTGATATTAAAAATCTCAATATGTCGTTATCTATGGCTTGGTGTGACATCACATCTCATCTTCTTTCTTTGATTCTTTCAATTTAAAAGATTAATCTCGATTCAATATTTTGAGATTTGATGGGATCCATTTTTAGTTTATTAAATATTACAATAAT